TGATAGAGCTAATTTTTTACTATAAGAAGATATTTTAGTGAGTTCATTATAAGAATAAGCGTTATATACATAAAGTTCATTCGAGGAAGGCATCGCTTTCCACAATTTTTGTAGGAGTGGCCCCTTCGTAAGCAAATTTTACATATAGGACAGACGCATTCAAAATATCTTTTTTTAGGTCCAAGGGTACCCTGTTCCCTTCTGATTAGGATTCAAGACTGCCAAACAATACTGGCTTCCATTACCGTGTCTTCCATAGATTCTCTTTTAGTTCAAGCTTCTTGACTAATATGAATCCAACGCTAGCTTGAAAAGTAGTGCTATATGGGGACAATGCTAATTACAACGTTGCTTTACCCTCTATCCAAAGCTTCTAAAAAAAGCAATTAACAAGTCCATATCAGAAATCTTTCCCCGGACATATTACTACATACTTTGAACCTTGCTAAAATTATCAAATTGTAATTTATATAAGCTCTTTATAACAAAGAAATGTTTTAAGGTGGCTTTTATTCATATTCATTAAGTAACAAATCCCATGCTTTAGCTTAGAGTCATGATGTATAAAAACAAAGTGTTATGTGTCTTCAACGTCTGACTAGAGATATTTGCGGAATCAGTTAACCTCTTATAGGTTACTGGTTACTATGTTTACGACTTACTGCCTAGGTTCAATTTAGGATTTTCGCAGAAAAAAAACAAATCTATTTTAAGTCTCAAGAGTTTTTCCCGTGAAAAGGTTAATTGGGATATATACAAATTTTGAAAATAAATATTGGAATTTAAAGTATAGATCCAACCTAGGAAGTGACTTCGCAGAAAATTCAAATCTCTTTCAAGCCTGAGAGTTTTGCCCTTTGAAGGGTTGAAACAGGGGTAAACACAATCACAGTCCAAGTAAGAGGCCAAGACAAGAAATCTAGCTTTCCAACCTGAAAGTTATCTCTAAAGAACTCTATAAAACTAAAGCTGAACGTGATTAAAAATTATATACATAAGTTTTTATTAATAAATGAAGCAAAAATTAGACAAAATTAGTTAAAATTAATAATTTATAAATAAATAAACAATTAATTAAAAAAAGCCAAAATTACTTTTAATACTATAATAAAAATAAGCAAATGAACTCTTATTTGTTAAATAATAATAAAAAACATTAACTTAACGGTTTCAATATAAATATTTAAAAAATATATGAGCAAGAGAAAGATCAAAACGAGATAGATAATATTTTATTAAGCTTCACGAGAAAAATACAGTTGACTTCGCTAATAACGAACTCCAAAACCGGCTATCTGTGTTCGAAAAATCTGAGGTCACCAAACGACGGAAATTTTTCAAAAATAAGAAGTCAATTAATACGCTCTTTTTTCTATTCATAAATATCCTATCAAAAAAATTATTCAAAATAAGTTTTTGATTTATATACACTGTAATTGGTTGTCAACTTCTCTTTCGAAGCTTTTTTGAAAAACCTTTTTCAAGTTCTTTTTTTGTATGTCAGTCGTTTCCATCAAATTCGATTCACTCGCATCGACTGATCCTAAATAACGACCAAATTTACCTTATTCCTTCTAACGCTCCTTTTGCTGTCCTATGTCCGACCCCACTCTAATTTTCCTTCTCTTCATTTTCATCACTCCCGACTTCTTGGGCTCGTCGAAGCTTGAGTTCTTGACCGACTCTACAATGGAAGCAACACTGGAAATTTCGTAAGATATCACTTCTTCATCAGGGATGTAATCTTCAATATTATATTTTTTAAAAGGACATTCTGAAGTAAACTTAGCTGCGACAAAGGTAAATCGCACACTCTTCTTTAAGGACTACAGGACCGACTGCTTATTCTTAGCGGAACAAAAAGCAATTCTGTATTGTGATCGGTGTTACTCCTAGTCAGGCTTTTTTGGAAAACCGTATTGCATCCAAGACTGATATGACAACTTTTTCGTTATAATAATATCCTTGGATTAACCGAGTAATAACTTTTTTTTTGGTAATGACTTTAAAACTTTAGATGACACCCTGATCCATAGGCCGGAGTTTTCATGTAGTATCTTTAGCCAAAGAAAATAAATTAATATTTTTAAAAATTCATCACTTAGAAAAGAGTCGAACAGTTATTTACTAAAAGTAAAAATTTACAATTAGCTAATTCTCTGTTCCATCGCCTTAGTTCTGTCTCAAAAAACGTTAAAGTCAAATAAGCTTTTTTATTAAATAATCAATTAACAGGGACTAATTTTAGCTTTTCTAGACAGGACATTGCAAAAACGAGTATTTTTAATCTCTTTTCGAAATTTTCCATCCACATATATCATTTTTTAATTAATAAAATGGAGTTAATCAATAAAACAAGTTTCCTCCTTTAAAATATAGTCCATGAACAGCCCTCACTAAATTTTGGCTCCGCAATTTTTAGTTACTCATCAACTTGCTGATTCACACTTTTTGTTTCCTCAATAACTTTTTCCTATTAAACGTTGTACCTTTTTTAACGCCGATAAAAATAATCTTGGACATACATATATTTTCTCTGAAACAAACAAATTAAACTTTTCTTCGGCTTTAGTATGTAGCAATTGACCATTCACCGGAATTACCTATAATGTGTTGAACCATTGTAATCAAGCTTGACCTACTATAAGAATCTTTTCCTCATAAACTTTTTTTTATTTCTTTTTGCTTACAAAAGTAGACAATGTAGCCTATACTTTTTACATACATTCACTTGGCTTACCCAGGAATATAATCCCTTTAAAATATTGATCATCGCCTTAAGAATACTGTTTTCCTTCCGACATGTTTCTATTAACTGAACAGAAAATAACATTTTATGACAACAGTATTAAAAATCATGTTTTAAACTCTGTCATAGATTCTAATTTGTTCGATATAACCTAGGTTTTTACATAAGGCAATATAGAAAGGGATCGAGACCGAAAGGTTTGGTTCGCTAAAACCTAGGGTTCGTTTAAAGCGAGTTTATTTTAAGTAGGGTCAATATATATATTAGTATTGCACCTAACTCAAGACCTAAGAATAATCATCACTATGAAAGTTATATGGTAGCAATTATTGCACTATGGTAGCTATTATCTAACAAAGTAAAGGTTGGTCGTGATGTCTGCGGGTGCATTACAACTGTAGCAGTCTTCCAACATAATGAGGAGTTAGAGGCCACCAATAGGTTGACGAAGCAGCTTAGACTTTTCACCATCACCAATAATAGTATTTGCTTCAACAGCGCTTCGGAGATCCGATAGGGTAGGGTGACTTCCGTTTTCGCGGGCTTTAATAATCTCCTTCATATTGACAGGGGTGAGAACCCCATCGAGCTGCTCTCCAACATCAACGGAAAAGTTCAGCTTAAAAAAAGCTTTCATTAGCAATTAAAAAAAAGAGATGGTAACCACTGAGAAGCGAGAATTAGCAAAAAGTGTTGGTTTGTTAATTTTAAAATGAAGTTGTGGGCATCCCCCTTTCTTTAAAAAATAACAATCTGACGCCTTCCTTCACAAAGTCGTCTCGTAGAAGGAAGTGCTAAACGTGCCTGGCATCTGTATTTCTTAGTAAACTCCCGGATTGAGACACAGCCATTATGTCCAGCCCCCCAATTTTATCTCTCACTGACGATTATGGTGTGCCAGCAACTCTTCCTAGTGCGCTGATGTAGTCAATTAAGCGCCATTATGCCTTCAGGGCGTTGTGACGCTCTGGTCACTGATATAAGTCGTGCACGCTCGCAGGTAAAGAGGTGATTAGGTGGGTACTCAACTTTACGTGTCTCTATGACGTGGCAGTATTCCATGGTCTTAGCATCCTCGATACAGAAGCAGCAAAGTCAACTAGAGCGGGTGTCCTCGGTAGCCTGGAGGATGTTGAAGAAGGGTTTAGCCCACTGTTAAAATATAAATATTTCTTTCAGCAATGATACCCATCATATTTGTTTCCGTCTTCGCCATGTGCGTTGGGAACTGTGGCCTAATGACTCGTAGCCCGCGGACATCGTTGTAAGCTTCGAGGATTCAGTCTTGCGGGTTTTTGTCACTACTGTTTTAAGTAGGATACTTTTTAAGGCTCGCGCGTACAACAGTTGAGGGACTAGGTTTATAGTGGCTTGCCAGGGGCTCAAAACTGCGATCACCGATACACTTGCCAGTTAGAGGAAAACACCAACTGCCTTATTGCTTAACAGGTCTAGTAGAGATATCGCCCTGTGTTAAGTTACGTCTAACTAGAATAACATGTCTCCTCTTCCCCTATCAAGTCGGTCCAAGCTAGTAATTGCAGAACTTGGATGGACGCTAGAAAATAGATGAGGGTAGCTTATAACAAACAGATTGATCCTTACACTCTGCATCAACTTTTGCCAACCCATGTTATCTGCGTGGAACCCATCTGCATTTAAAACCGGATATGAAGGGGCGTACGTGGTCTAAAAGCCATTGCAAACGAAGTTTAGACGTTTAACTGTGGTAAGCTTTGTTGACGGATTTATTGTCAATTTAGCAAGTAAAATGCTTTAGTATTGGTTGCTGTCGATGCTGCTGTGGTTGCGGTTGCCAGATAAGCGTTTTTGAGCCAAGCAAGCGGCGTAGGAGAGTGACAGAGTTACGTTAGCATAAACCTGAATTGCGTAGAGAGCTTCAAATTACATTAATGAGCACGATCACTACCTGTTGCACGCTAATCCCCACACATGCACACTAAAAATGCTTGAAGAGCCTTAAAAGAGAGTTGTTTATCTTCCTTAATTTCAGTACACGCCACAAGACTGCTCAAACATGCTGGAATGTGTACAGCAAAAATAAAAGAGGAAAAGTAAAGCTAATGAGGTTAATATCCCATGCAATAAACATTATAACGTGGTCTGGCTTAGATAGTCTGGGGTTTGTTTGTTATTACCAAAATTGCATATCACGTGCACCTCCACCGCATCAGGGGTTCGACCCTTAATGAAAAGTTTTGGTGCCCAACGATTTTAGTGGTATTGTCTTATGGCTTACAATTTTAAACAGATAACCATAGTTCCAACTGCTTCGGAGTTTATAGACATTATTTTGTCTAAAACTCAGAGAAAAACTCCCACAGTAGTCCATCCAGGTTTTCTTAGATCTTTTTATTATTTGTTAACTAACTCTTTTTAGGCTATAAAATATCTAGAATAAGAACATTTTACTCAAGAAAAGTAAAATACACCCAGCAGAATTATCATGATAAACTTACTATTATTTTGGGAAGCTTTCCTAAACTTGAGGTGTATTTATATTTAAATTTTGTTTGCATCTGTTATTTTTTCTTACTTTATATTTTAGGATGTTCATCCTTTTTACGCGGAGTTAATGAACGTTCTTTATGACCGAGATCATTACAAAATTGCTTTAGGCCAATTGAGTACTGCACGTAAGGTAAAACGTTTTTTGTTGTTATTTGTTCCTTTTTTTAGTATATAAGTAGCTTATAGATGGCGTTGGAAGAGATTACTTAAAGTTATTGAAGTATGGTGATTCATTGTATAGATGCAAACAGCTTAAAAAGGCAGCTTTAGGAAGGTTTTCGCTTATTGAACTCTTTAAAGTTTTTGAAAAGTTAAAGGTTTTAACCGTTTTATATGAAAGGATGTGTACCATAATAAAACGGCAGGCCTCATCCTTGGCCTATTTAGAAAGGGTTAGACAACATTTATCCCGACTCCCTAGTATTGATCCTCAGGAGAAAACTTTAATTCTAACTGGTCATCCCAATGTCGGCAAGTCTAGTTTTATGAAGTGGGTCACTAGAGCAGACGTAGATGTGCAACCTTACCCGTTTACTACGAAGTCTTTATATATTGGCCATATGGATTACAGGTCTTTTGCCTTCCTTTACTATTTTCTCTTCCTTACTCTTGACTAGGTATCAAAGATGGCAAGTAATGGACACTCCAGGTATTTTGGATCATTCTCTCGAGGAAAGGAACACTATAGAAATGCAAGCTATTACAGCACTTGCCCATCTTAAAGCTTGTATTATCTACATTTTGGACATATCAGAGGAATGCGGAAACAGCGTAACCGAGCAGGTAACACTAGTTTTCAGGGTCTAACCTTGCGCTGCTTGCGGCAATATTGTTACTTTCATTAGGTTTCTCTTTTCAATAATATAAGAGTATTGTTCTCAAACAAGCCTGTAGTACTCGTTTTAAATAAAATCGATACCGTAAGACCCGAAAATTTGCCTTTGGAAGTCCAGCAAGCTCTAAAGGCAAATGTTTTTTTACCCACACTCTAAGAATCACGAGTTATTCTGTAATCTACTTTCCAGGTTTTAGAAGAGCAGAATCCCGACATGGCTGTTATAGGCATGAGCTCGCTAACGGGTGAAAATGTTACCGAGGTAAAAACCAGGGCGTGCGATAAGCTTTTGCAATTGCGTGTGGAGCAAAAGATCTTGTGCGGAAAAGTTAGCGGACTTATGAATCAGTTGACAGTTGCCTATCCCGTCAAGCGCGACTGTCTCGTATTATTATTTACTTTACTGTCCTTGAAGTAAACATCAACTTGTAAATTTACTGTAGAGCCGTCCACCGGTCGTCCCCGCTACGGTGCTCAACAGCGCCCCAGTCGCAAAGAAGAAGACATTGCATCAGTGCTACATAGACGAATGCGAAGGTGCGGTTTTTTAGCTTTGAACGGCTTGCGCTTATTTCCTTCAACTAGATTTTTATTATGATTTGCGGGAGGAGCATCTTATGACCAACGAGGACTGGCGCTTTGACAATATACCAGAGATAATGGACGGCAAAAACATTGCCGACTTTGTCGATCCAGATATTCTTGAGAGGCTTGAACTGCTGGAGCAAGAAGAGCTCATTCGTGTGCAGCAGGGCTTTTACGATTTTGGATATCAAACTACTGCAGGAGATAAAGATATTACTGAGCTGGCCTTGAAAATTCGTCAGCAGAGGCGGAAAGTTTTATTAGAGGTTTAGTGCGCCCTTATTGCCAGTTTGAATAATTACACTCTTTTCCTTTTAGACTAGACAAAAAAATGCTAAACGGGGGTCGCGCCTACCCAGGCGGTCCATTACAAAAAATAATTTGCGGAATCATCTTCTCAGTCTGGGCATTAAACTAGAGGGACCTAGTAAACAGTGCTTACCCACTGCTACTTTGCCTCAGAAAAGAGGTTTCTTTACACATGCATTATCCCTTTATATTTCGGCAATACGGAACTTAGGCAAACCGCTTGAACTTACTTCTACTGCGAAAACTATAAAACTGGAGAATAATGGTAACTTTTGGAGTCGTTATACCTGTTGCACACTGCAATCAAGTTTACATAGTTTACATATTTTTAGCAGGAGAAGTTGTGTCCTCCACTTCTAGGTTGAGAGCCGTGCCCGGGTCTAAAAACCGGGCCGCTTCAGGCTTACGGGATGAGACTCAGCATAAGCTGGCTGTAAAATTAATGAGGTTCTCCCAGCGAGCGAGGAATAAAGAAGTAAGCGCGTGAAATAACACCGTTTTTTATGGGCAGTTTACCATTTACAATCTCCTGCTAGGCAAGGAAGGGCGAAGGGGACCGCACTATTTTAAATAAAAAGCCAAAGCACTTGTTTTCTGGAAAGCGGAGTATCGGTAAAACTGACCGCCGTTGAGATTTAGTTATATTTGCCAAAAAGAAATTTGCTTTTAATAAAATAAACATGTGTTGCCAAGTTTATAAGACAAACTACGCTATAAATGTCTCTCTTTATCATAAGCAGCGCGCAAAACTTCCATTCTTGAGTCACATCGGACTCTAACGCGGGCTTTCATTCGAGTGGTGCGAATTTTATTGGGAGCGCTCCTGTTGACACAACGAAAGTAGTTACTTCAGTTAGAGTTCTTACTTACAGAGACTGTTTTCATGCGTATGGGATGTGACACACCTTTATTTAAATTATGAAACTTAAGTTTTCTAAATATTGTTAAATAGCACTTCTTTTAACTCCTTTGATATGAAAATTCTTATAACAGCTGTCGTGAGAAAAGTTATTATCCTTTGCGTGGTTAAAAAAGTAAGACACTATAGACTCCTGACCGCGAAGCATAGTGTTTAAAAAACGTTGCTTTTAACTGCTACTTATTTCTCTTGGGCAGAAGCTTATTTTGACAATTTTTTAGTAACAAACTTTAATTTAACTTTTTGAGTATGTGAAACCGGCAAACTTATTGCTTTGGGCGATCTGTAAAAGTTTGCATCCTGAGATGCAAAGTTTCTAGTACAAAGTACGTCCGTTTGCTGACGATAAAGATGGAATGCACCAAAAGGTAACGCACTTCTATGAAGATGACTGGGCATAGTGTCTAGGAATAATATTTAATGAATTAATAAACGAACACAACTTTAAATATGCGACAAATAAGAAGGAACATAATAAGTATTGAAGAACAAACAAGACGAACTGACTAGAAACGTAAAGAGGTTCACTAGAATAGAATAAAACGGATCATACGAGGACAGCCGATACGAACAGAAAAAGAAAGGGGCACCCGGACCACGAAGAAAATACACAGCTTGGGTTTCTCTGGCGCGTGTGGGGTTATGTACATGTTAAAAGTTTGACAAAAATGGCTAAGTAGCCACGCATACTAATTAGAGGTTAGAAGGGAGGATTACTTAAGCGGGATGGAGCCGGTCTTACAGCGCCTTCATATATTAGGTGTCTAATGACCCTGGCAGTCACAAGAAATAAATATAAAACGGTAACTGCTCTATTTGCGATCCTGACATGCGTCAACCAGGCCTCTATTTAAATATTTCAATACTTTTGTAACCTGACTTTATTTCGATGTCAAAGCAGGTGATGGGGATGTTAGGTAAATTTAATGTTCACCGGTGCATCAGACGCTATCATGTTTATGGTAGGTCTTTTGCAGTTCTTGTAGAAATTTGTATAGTAAGTAACTTAATTACCAAAAATAAGAGATTTAGGTAAGCCAAAAAAATTTTTAATACTTTCGCCTGTCGTAAGTTTATAATATTGCGATAGGGTTTCAATGCTTTAGTCTATGAAGGATAAAGCTTGGAACAAACCATGCCGCCTAAAATAGTTCTCAGTATAGAGTTTTGTGGACCCTTGTAGTGGTTAAATAACAACCGGTTCGTAATATCACTTCACAGATGCTTAGGTCATCGTGGTCCTGATAGCTGGGGGATGGTTTTAAAACTTGTTTCGTTTAGAAGGCGGTTTGGCTAGCAGATACGTGGGTACGTCAGGTTTGTTTGCTAATTTAGCCTTATTCGTGCTCCGAGAGGGTCTGTTGTCTATAACAGCGTTAAGGGGGCTTGCGTTAGTGTCCCAACCTTAACCCTAACCCTAACCCTACTAAAGGACTGGTGTATCGTTATTGGCAAGTGGTTGAACATTTGGTCTTTAAATTTTTTGCTTAATCATTATGACTGCGCACTTAGTAGGGTTAAAATGTCAACAAGTTGACCACCCACAACTCGCGGTTAGAATGTGGGCGCTAATTAAGTAAACATGTTCATAACAGTGCTACGAATTTAAGCGTCGTTTGGCGCGACGGGGTAAACCACAACTATATTGCATCATATAAAATGGGTACAAATCGAGATTATTCTAGGTGCACCAAATATATACGCTATCGTTTCAAATTTGCTTTAAAGTTTTGCATTGTTTTATTTAATATAAATTGACTTTTTAATAACTATTGCATTACTTTAAAATTTATACACAGTAAACTTCTTTTATATTTACATTTTGTTAATACTTAATCTTAAATTGGTTTAATATTCGAAAATATATGAGCTTGCAAAGTAAAAATTTTACCTAGAACAAATTTAATTTAGCAAACAAATTTTAATAATTAGTTTGGCTCCCTTTAGCCAGAATCACTGCTGTATCTTCTTTGGCAATACTGACAACCAGACTGTAGCATTGATCGGGTGTTATATTTTTCCATTCTGATTGATACATGTGTGCAAGGCTCGTCCAATTTAGCTCGTATGACACAAACTCCCTCTTCGAGATTCTCCATGTATGCTCAATGGAATTGAGATCAGGAGCTTGCGGATGTCAGTCTAACACTTGGTACGACTGTAACTGGAGCCATGATCGCACCGATAGTGCAGTCTGACATGGGGTATAATTCTGATGAAAATTATTTCATCAAAATCAAGGCCATAGCAATCGCAGTTCTGGGTAGGTCATTCTTTATAATGGCTAAATACTTGCTTGCGGTGATATCCGCCCCCTTAGATGTTATACAAGACCAAATCTTAATTGATCCCCTTTCACGTTTATACGTTGGCACCACTTAGTGCTTCAGTATTCGAATATGACCGGATAGCTTCTAACACCACTTAAAACCATCTGAACCATATCGATTGATCTTGGTCTCGTCCGAAAAATTAATTTTTTCCAGTCAAAAATGGATCAACTTTCGTACATCTTCGCAAACTCAAAGCTTAGTCGCTCTTTACGGTTTGTCAGAGCGGGCGGGTTTTATCAATTTTTTTTTTCGCAGGGAGATCGAAAGAGTGCTATGCTCTCGATACGGTCGATCTTGAAACTTTGTCTATCTAATGTTTTTTTAGGTTTTGAAACTTTCTGTGCAGATTTAATTGCACGTGATGTCACTTCTCGTACAAGTCGAGCTAGACCCGGGATATTGTGGGTCTTATTCACGAGTGATTTCAGTATAAGGCTTGACTTGAGCTAGAAGGCGTTTTACATTATTTTCTTTATCGACTAAAGTTTACGCATTGTCAAATTAAGGTCTCTAAAAAACTATCTTTTATAGTCACTTAAACGCTTTTAAAAAAAACCCTTATGAGGGAGGGATTACAAAATTTCGAATAAATATTGAAACAATTACTCAAACTTTTAATGGCGATAAAGAATTAGTAAGAAAGCAATGCCTTTAATTTAAACTACATTAAATAAGTCTTTATCTAAACTTAAATCAAATTTAGCTGATTCCTAGAATAGAGAACTTTGACTTCTGCTGAGAAGTGGTTTTAAATATGACTGTAAAAACACTAACAAAGAAGGAGAGAATAAAAAAGACGGAAGCTGTTTTATTATTAGTTTATTTATTCATTAATGGGGTTCTCTGGTGCCCGATCGAGTTAACAAGGAATACATTATCCCTCAAACAGGTTTTTAGTCGTCCACGAGTACAAGTAAAATTATTATCTTGAATTGTGCCCTTCACATTCGATTTAAACTCCCCAACTTAGCTTTCAAACCGTTATGCTAAGAGTGCGTGGTGTGAGCGGCAGTAATGTAGGCTCACAAGTCGTAAGTGCGTTCTTCCGTTAATAGGCGACTAGCGTGTTCAGCTATCCATTTGTAGAGGGCGACGACATCATTTTTAAAGTAGGGTCAACAGCTCGATCTGTAGTTCGTGGTAAAATGTCATTGGGCACATATACCACGGAGCTTTGTTTGTTAAAGGCCGCAGTAGTTTGTTTTGTCGGACTTGAAGCGAGGACGTTATTACCGATTAGTCGTAGGCCCAGACAGGAGGTGTATATATCATTATCGGTCGAATGCACAGTGTGTAAAGTCTTCACTTACTGCGCAACGAAAGTATATTTTTGCACAATAGAGGATATAGCATCTGGAACGCTGCACTGACCTTCAAAGCCACGTAATCTACTTAATCTACTTGTGGACGCCAGGACAGCTAAGAATCTATAATGACCCCCAGGTATTTTACTTGGATACACCACGGTGCTTCCACCCCCTTAGAAGTTAAAGGAGTCGGTAACTCATAGCGTTTCTTCATTACAAGAAGTGCCTTGCTCTTTGCTGCGTTTAAGGATAGGCCTCATTGACAACACAGCTAGCAAGCGTGTCGAGATAAAATTTTAAGTGCTAACCTAGTAAAACGGGTGACTTTGACGGATAATAAATCATAGATCCATCGGCGTAAATGGCAACCCACGGGGAGGGGTGTGAACTGGAAGAGGAATGTCGCTCATATAGAACACGAATAGCAGCGGTAATAGAAGAGAGCCTTGCGGAACTCCCGCTGTAGCGAGGCGACGACGGCGCAGAGAATACTCGCACGTTGAAGAACCGACCGGTTATGTATGACTTGAGAACTTTTTTTGAAGGCCGCGCGGCGTCGCCAAAGCATGTTGCTTGCATAACAAGCTACCATACCATACTCGATTAAAAGCCTTCTTAGCATCGAGAAAGAAAGTGCCAGTGACTTTTTTGAAATTAAAGGAACTCGTCGTCCACCCGGTTAGGCGAAGGAATTGTTGTGCCGTTGATGTACCTTGCGTCCAAAAACTGAAACTTTGGTAAAATTTTTCACGAGCGACCCCAACAGCCTTCAAACGTTTATGTCTCACTGCCTAGCCATCTTATCAACTGCCAAAAAAAGGCTAATGAGTAGATGGTTGTGAGGCTCTGACTCCGGTTGCGACGGTTGCGACGTTTTTGGTAACAACACGACTACCGCCATTTTCCAACACCCGGGAAAATAGGCTAAGGTCACCTCTGGGTTGACGAGGCTGCATAAGTGATTCATAGCAGCCTTTCCAGCTGTTTTAAAATAGATTAGTAATGCGGGAAGGGCCGGGCGCCTTCCGCTTCGGTAGTAATTTGATAACTGATTTGAGTTCGTCAGTGGTAGAAAGCTCCT